ATAATTCATACATTTAAAAGCTCTGTGTTTTCGAGAAAGCTGACTTGCTCTGAAGCTTTCACTTTAAGAATATAGAAGTATAAAGTTTTCGAAGAAATTCGCCTTCACCTCACTTATCCCTTGATTAAAAATTCATACATTTAAAAGCTCTGTGTTTTCGARAAARCTGACTTTCATTTTAAGAATATAGAAGCCTAAAGTTTTCGAAGAAGTTCGCTTTCACTGAAACTTTCCCATATATTAACATATAATTGCAGCATTTAAAAGCACGAAGTTTTCGCGAAAGGTATCTTTAACTAAAGCTTGCTAGCATCAATCCCTTGAAAACCCTTCGAACATATTGGAACCTGAAGTTTTCGAAGATGTTCGTTTTCATTAAAGCGTTCACTTCACTTAACATATAAAGTATTTAAAAGCACGGAGTTTTCGAGAAAGCGAACTTTCACCAAAGCTTTCACTTCACCAATCCCTTGATTATGATTTAATTAGCTTTTGAAGATAATGCTTTTAATTCATTATATTTCAACTATATAGATGAATATTGTAATTATTTGTTGCACTTAGCTAAAGATGTACAATTATAAGCTCATTTGTAATAAAAAGCGTTCTAAGAGAGTTTGTGACATGAAAAAACTTCAACTAAACTCCTTCATTCTCTCTCTATAGGCCATTCTGGAGCCTAAAATATCGATTTCCCAATAACCAATCTATAATGAATTTTGGATAAAAAGTTATCTGGAAGTATTGGAAATACAACTCTGCTGTTTTATAACGCTAGCTTACAGTTATTTTGCGACTGTAACGTTAGTGACTATTTCTTGCTAATTTTGGGTTGCTAAAACCGAAAATGGTAATTAGGTTGTTAGAATCCGAAAATGATAGTAAAAATTTCCGAACATGTAGAATTTTAGGTGTCGTAATCAWGGGGTGTAGGAGTCAAATACACATTATTTAGTAAAAAAAAAATATCAAAAATAGCTGTGTGTTATGGAAGATTTTGGACGTCAGATTCGTAATCGAAAACCTCAAATACCACACAGGCCTCTTAACACAATAGTCGCCATTAGATCGCTCAGATTTGTTGACTAGTGTAATTTTATTCGGCATATGCTGCCACTAAAAATGATTAAATTCTTAATTTCAATATTATTTTTGCCAAAACAGTTAAGGCCAACATGTATTTACTCAACGACTAACGGTAAATATTGCAAAATTTCAAATAAGTATTGGCATATGCGTGTATACATATATGTATATATGTATGTATGTTGATGTGCGCATGTGGCCACACAATTTTACAGTTGACATATTTGGTTTCTGGTGTAAATATCAATATTTCACGTTTATCTCATTATTCAAGAGCCTAATTACGTGCAGTAATGTGCAAAATAAATTGAAATTATTAAATCCCTTAAGCGGAAAGCGCACTAGTTGCACGAAATGCGCGTGTATGCTTGACAATTTCGCCTCTAGCAAGTGCGGATATCGCCAATAATATAGTATGTACGTATGTGAGTCTTTGGGCCCATACGCCTACAGCGCGCATGCAACACACCCACACGTACATATACCTGTCTCTTATACACATCTCTACAGCGCGCATGCAACACACCCACACGTACATATACTGTAGCTGTGTATGTTTATGTAGGCGCATATTTACTTTGGCCCACTTGCATAGATAAATAATAAGCAGTTGGTTTTATGTGCTCTATTAACTTGTTCAGTGCTTTTGATTGCGAATTTATYAGCACTCTGTGCTAAGCAAATACACATGCACACATATCCATAAATACATACATACATACATTTATGCCACGTTGTTTTTATATGTATGCACGTGTTTKTACATACATTTCGAAATATGAAAATAAATATTTATGACTCTATTAATTTATTCATTTTTTAATTATCTATAAGTGTATTGCCTAACACATAAATACAAGGGCGCTCACAACTCTATGTACCGTTAAGTGTTGCGCTAAATATTTAAGTTCTTGCCTATGTATGTATGTGAACCTGAGTGTATGTGTGGTTCCAAGTATGTGTGTGTGGTGGCTGCGCTGTGATTATTATAAAGTGGAAAGCAATTTGCTATTCGCTGCGACCTTGTCTTATACATACTTACAAATATGTATATGGTATGTATGTATATGTACATATATATAAATTTGTATGCAGGTGGGGGAATCATTTTAGCAGTTAAATTGTAATGAAGTGTCCTTAGAGAATTGACACCTACCACTTTGAAGTGTTTCATGGTTCAGCTATTAGATTTGGGGCTGGCTATGTACATACTTATATGCAAAAGTTTATTTATTTTGTATAGATGTACATACTAATTTTTTATATATATTAATTTTTTTTGGTGAGTTTACGATGTAGGATTAAAATTTTATTTAAATTTTCAAAACATCTCTACACTCTTGTTAAGGGGTTGTATACAGTTAGAAGACCGAAAAAATGCGAATTTTCCAAAATTTTTTCTGAGAAAAGTTTTAAATTTAGTTATCTAAAAATTAGTACACACATTATGGTATCTTTTAACTGTATTTTAAGTAGTAGTAGTTAGTATTAATAAAAATATTTATTTTGAAAGGTACTAGAGCTGATCTCCGGGATATCCTTTTAAATTAAAAAAACAACAGATTTGGTTAAAGTAATTTTAAATTTAGTACATAATTGGGCTAATAAGAAAAATACATTTTTTTGACAAAACGGCGGTTTCTAAAAACAAACGGTCACAATTGTGGCCTTAAATTCTTTATAAAAAAAAATATTTATCGATGAAAAAAAATCTTCCTGTAATTACTAAAAAATGTATTTAATAAGCTCGTATTGAAATTTTTGAATAATCGATTTAGCCGTTTGGYGGGACAACGGAAGGGGAAGTGACATATGAGTCCCCCTCACCTTCCTTCATACAGCTTTGAGCGCTMTGCACATGATAGGTTGTGCAGAAATTCGTCCTTTGTGCTACCTATAAACTCCTAAAATGTTGATCACCAGATCCTCATTGATCAAAAAACCGTTTTTTRAGCTGGTAATATAAATCCCAGCAACTTCGCTAGCTTCGCCTAAAGTGTGACTAATGAAATATTTCAATCTTAGTTGGGCAACGGAAGGGGAGGTGACAGACTTCCTTACGGCTTTGACAAAGAACGTTCTACAGAATATTTAGTCGCACCGCGTGTAAACCTAATGGACCGTTTACAGTTAGAACACCTTAATTTGCAACATAATTGTGGCGATTTTGACTTTGCTTAGAGCCAGTAGTTCGGATGATTCACTCTGAGCCAAAATGGCCTCGCAGTCGGAAAAATTATGGTTTTTGACCAGCGCWTACTGAGCTCATTAGAGGTACAAAGCTACAACGCCAGAACCCCATTAGACATCGGAGAAGCAATTCGAATCCAATCGGATGAAATTGAGGAGAGGGTGCTCTCCCTAGCCAGCTCATCGGCTTTGCAGTTTCCAGAGATTCCGCTATGCCCGCGCACCTATATGATTCTATCATGGAAAGAACTTGAAGCTATTGCTAATGAGGTCATGCATTCCTTGAGTAGCTTTGAGAGCACAATTAGCGAGTACAAAGTCAGTATACACAGTCGCTTGGCCGTCGGAATGAATCCACACCTCTCTGAAGTAAGCTGCATTTCGGAGCAGTACATCTTCTTCTTCTTTATTAGCGTTGACACCGTTTACGTGGTTATAGCCGAGTTTACAACAGCGCGAGAATGRAGCCATGTGTAGAAGTACACTCAAGTGAGGAAAGTTCTCTCAGCGCCATTCACTTGGGAGTGACCAGAAACGCTTCTTTTACATATGGTTTAAGTAGCTCAACTCTTCTGTCTTAGACCAACATCAATTTGAAGTCAAGCTAAGGTGAGAGGGCGAAGCAGCTGTACATGCAGTACACGCCACATAAAAAATACCTCCAATGGAAGCAGTACATCCACTGTTGCTTTAATGGCAGCCACTTCCGCTACAGTGGTCTATTAGTCTGAAACTAGAGTTGATGGAGAGCTCCCGACAAAAGACTCTACCGCCTACATTCCCTCTTAACTTCAATGAATTCAAGAAAAAGCTCACTGCAGCACTTCCCCAAAGACTTCGCCCCTCCCACAAATTCCTCGCCGATGTGTGTTCAGTAATCTAGGTTAGAAAGAATGCAAACGAAGCAGTGGAAAAATTCAATATGTCCCTGCTGTAGCTCCTCACAAAACAGGGTCCAACAGCTTCCTTCACCGCCAACCACTTAACAGCTATGTCTACAGGTGCAAAATACTGTGGTCACACAAAGAAAACTTTCTGAAAGCAATAAATAACTGTTTTGATAATTTACTTTTTTCTAAAAAAAATCACTAAATCATTTATGTCATCTTTAAAAAAAAAATGTCAAAATTAATTGCCGTTATTTCATTAAAAAGTCTTAAAATTCTTAAAAAATAATCTAAATAATTTACTGTAAAATTGGCTCACCCTAGTGTACTTTTGCGCACACAAGCACTTGGTTATTGTATATGTATGTATGTGAAGTGGTAGGTGTCTTAATTCAATATTGTTTAAAATTAAGCTGGGGAAATTCTATTTTACCWGGACAACTACTTTTAGAGTTTATTTTGCGGAAATGACACGAAAAGTTTTTAATTGATCAAGTGAGAAGGGGAAAATTGAGAAAATTTGCATTTAGTAAAAATAAAAACACTTCTAAAGATTTTCTGCAAACTTTCAAATAAATTAATGCTGCAAAAGTTGTTGTGCGCAASGGAAACTTTCGAAAAATTGCAGCTTTCGATTTTTCGGTATCTTTTTGGAGTAAAGTTGTAATATTATGCGAGTGACTTGTAATAATGCTGCCTACAATTAGGCGCATGTTTTAATAATATATAAAAAATTTATCAAGGACAGACACCTCAAAATGTGATTCGGTCCTTCTATCATGTGTTTTTTGTAATCTTGACTTGAGGATTTCTCTTATTTTATTTTATTTTATTCAGATTCGTTACGGTGTCAAACAATATGGAGCTTGTTTCAAAATCTAATATGAGCGCCTTAGATGATCGTTCTTCAAAAAGCATGGGTAAGTCAAATAGAAATTTTTCAGCTAAAATTTATGCTTTATTATGGAACAAACTGATAGAATTTTCTTCGTTGAAACCCTTTTGGCGTATATGGTAAGACCAGATATAGTTGCTTAAAGCAGTTGAAATGTCATATAACTTTAATAACTAAAGACCTCACTTAATAGTACTTTAGTATGATTTTTAATAATTTTTGGCATTTCTCTTTTAGAAAAATTAAAAATGTTGGATATAACACGGGATCGGCCAGTTAAAGTGGCTGTAAAGGTGGCGGTACCGGTGCGAGATCATCCAAAGGTAAAACAATAGCAATAAAAAACGTTATGAGAAAAAAATTAAATTAGGTTTGAACTTTTTTTTGTTACAATTATATTTTAGTTCAATTTCGTTGGCAAACTCTTGGGTCCCAAGGGCAATTCTATGAAGCGTCTTCAAGAGGAGACAATGTGTAAAATGGCAGTATTAGGTCGTGGCTCGATGCGTGATCGTAAAAAAGAGGAGGAGTTGCGTGCCAGTGGCGACAGTCGTTATGCCCATCTCTTTGAAGATTTGCACGTAGAGATTTCCACATTTGCAGCGCCCGCAGAAGCTCACGCACGCATTGCATATGCGCTGGCCGAAGTGCGACGGTTCTTGGTGCCGGTAAGTACGTTGGTATAGATTTTGTTTAGAAGAAGTTTATTAAAATACCTAAAAACCTAAAAGTGATTGTAATGAGAAAATTGTTATAAAGATGGATTTTGTATGACAGAACCCGGTTTTAATGGAAGACTTCTTAATAATCTGATTCCATTAGATATTGCTAAGGCATTTTTGAACTCAGTCCGCTATGTTTAGTTAAAAGGGAAGGCGCAAGAGTAGAAGATTACACCGACGCTCTCAGGCCATCATTAGGTCCATTGTGCCTCCTGGTAACCAAATTAAGCCTTATCCAGCAACTCAGTGGTTTTCGTAAAATAYCCAATTTTTCCACCTCTGCTGCCCATGTTTGTTATGTTAGAGCATTGGGATCCGTGAAATATATGTATACCGTCTTATCGGGCTGAAGGCTGGGTTTTCACAAATATAAGGTTCCATCCAAATYCACTTTTCCAATTTTRTGAGGGTGGGTCTTAAAGGCAGAAGCCCTGTGATGAGCCGCTCAATATTACTAAATCCCTTTTTGCCTAAAGGTAGAAACTTTTTCGTCTGTTCGCCATCAACATTACCCCAAAGTAACTTTCTGGTATGCCCTGTGTTGCTAAGATTCCAAGACCCGAAGTGCTCCTCTGCAACCAATTGCTCAAACAACRCTTGAAGGAGCTGAATGGTCTGACGCCGCTTAGGAGAAGTCTCTTATACTTAACCATTTATTTATGTACTTTTCTAGGACTATCACGACGACATACGACAAGAGCAAATGTGGGAAATGCAAGCGTTGAGTTCCTCTACTTCGCTGACCTACACCGACGATCAGCATAGTCCCAATCGCGGTGGTGTCACCGATATGGATACATCGAATGATGAGAAGCTCGAGCTRGAACCSAATGGTATGGAATGCAATACACTTGTGGATAAGAACGAGGCACAACAGGTGAGTTTAAGCAATGAACARCAACAACAWCAGCTGCATCAACACCAACAACAGCAGCAACAACAACAACGCAATTTACATCATTTACTACATCAACCACCACCAACGTCGGCACGTGGCCCCAACACGCCCGTCGCCACAGTAGCAACTCATCATCACACCAATCTCTTGCCGACCAATACCGATGGTCTCTGTCAAAAAGCGAGTGCCGGCAGTACAGCAACAGCTAGTAAGTCATTTCATGTACACACACATGCTTATATATAYACAAATATACTTGWACGAGTAACCACAATAATTTGGCAATTAAAGTGARTTCCTTCCCACTAGTACACCCAGCAGCYATGTCGGTTGCATTACAACACCAATTGACCGCAGCCAGTATTGGTAATATGTTGAAGCCAGCCGCATCGACGGCCRCTGGTGTGCCTACGGTSACTGATTTGCATACGGCAACGCAACAGCCAAACACAGCCGGCGGCATAGCATTGCCAACGGAGGCTGAAGCGCCCATGGCAGCCACATTGGGTTTGCTGGATCCACCCACTGGTGCGCTGCTGCATCCGGCGTTGCGCAGCGTCAAGGCAATCAATATTGGTGAGTTTTTAGTTGTGACATTTGTGATTACAGTATTGAATTATTATTTCGATTTCGTGTTTACTCCCTTTTAATCTCTCCTATCTCTCCTGTTTTTTGCTCTTTCTCTTTGTTTTCTAGCGGGTGGCTTGGCCCGCAAGCGGCCACTATTGGGTGTGCCACGCTCCAGCATGAATCCAACTAAACGCACTGTAATGACTTTACTAGCCAGAGCCAAGAACTCGCAGGCTTTGCATGCGGTACGAAATCCGATTACAGCAGCCACGGCGGCCCGATTTGCTGAGTGAGTATATAAGTACATTGTTTTTTTTTATTTGTTTGTTTTATAATGAATTCGTATAGTAAAAGTCTCATTATTGGAGGCCAGGTTAAAATAAGATCTTTATTGGCTTTGAGTTGCCTAAAATATGTCCGGATTTTTAAACTTCTGAGGTTCATATTTTCTTCTTGAAAACTTTCAACTTTAGAACCGATCCAAACAAGGCATAAAATGCACATTAATTAAGTCTTCAAAAAWCTCTCCAGGAACCGGTTTCTTTGCAGAAATAAAAAGTTTTTTTTTCTTCTTTCTTTTTCGAATTTTGTTAGTTTTATCAACAATAGGTTAGGTTAGGTAAAAATTTTGAACCCACGAATAATCCGACTTGGAGTGCTAGAGWCCTTTGTAATGACCTGAACTCCTAGGTTTGGAATAAAATGACGTCACATGTCGTCACAAATTTAATGAGGCGACTAATATCACTTCCAGACAACTCGCAGTTTCAACGCCTCTGTATCAATGGAAACCTATTATTCAGTTAGGAGACCTATCATTGCGGCGATGTGGATCTTGCTAAGAGGTTGCAGTTCAATATACATTTTACGTTCCACCCTTGGCCATAACGTTTTTGCAAYTCCACAAGACCAATGCTTCCTCCCGCAAACCCAGTAGATCTAGAACTCGAGTGCACGTAGACAGGAGAACCTCGTTCGTTTCCATCTTGATAGCATTTGGGTATTGGTTTTACAATTYCTGACGATTCTGTTGTTGCCAGGCACTATAGCAGCTCTGCTATCGAAGTGAATGCATAAAATGCATCCCTAAAAGAAGGCACACTTCGTAGCAGTACATCTGCATAAAAGAACTTAATAGAAAACTCCCGGCAAAAGACTTCCCCTCCTGCGACTTCTTGCGGACAAGAATGAATCAAGCTAATTTTGGGTCCAGGGAAGATGTTCTGCATTGACCCGAACAAATGATTGTCAGAAAAGACAAGGCCCGGGATATAAGATGAATGTGGTAAAGCTTTCCAGCAGCTGATTTCGCAAATGTTTTTAAGCAAACTTGCAACATTAGGCCGACATCACAAAAATCCGTACGTTTCTTGACAACTGCTCTCTTCCATTTGATGAGTTGTCGATAGCGGTTCCCGTTAGTGGAGCGCTTAAGTCGTTCTTCCTTTTCAATGTTTGGCGCCAATTGGAGATTTCAAGTGTAACCAGGTCCTTCTCCTGGCCCTTCCAACAGAGTGGCTGTATTCCTCCTTCTTTACTTCCTACCGGTGGGTACCGCGTTGAATACTTTTATAGATGAAGTGTTTTTATTCATTCAGACAACATGACCTAAACCGTGTAGCCACTGTCTCTTAATTCGCTGAACTACAAGTCTGTCAATGTCATCGTATAAGTGGTAAAGCTCATCGTTCCATCGACTGCGGTATTCGCCGTTGCCAAAGCGCGAAGGACCATAAACCTTCGCAGAACCTTTTTCTCGAAAACTCGTAACGTTGACTCATCAGATGTTGTCATCGTCCATTCCTCTGCACCTTATAGCAGCACGGGGATGATGAGTGACTTTTAAAGTTTGGTCTTTGTTAGTTGAGAGATTACTTTACTTCCCAATTGCCTGCTCAGTCAGAAGTAGTACCTGTTGGCAAGAGTCACTCTACGATGGATTCCAGGATTGACGCTGTTGTTAGTGTTAGTATTGGTTCCAAGATAGTTGGTATGAAGGTATGATTGCCAACAATGACGTGGGAGTCAAGTTGACTATTTGTTTGCTGAATATAGTTACACAGCCAGTATTGTATATAATATTATTGTTATGCAGCAAACCGTAAAATCATTCATCTTCGCTCTYAGTCCCTTACAGATGCTTACCTCCCCATTTATATTATCGTCGCAACCCATGGATCAGTCGATGCTAACATTTCCTAAGGAAAGTCTCGCACAAGGAGTCTAAGTCTAATTCACACACACAAAAGACAAGGTATTTTGAAATGAAAAAATTTGATCCTTATTGAGCCCGCCTCCACCTACACACCAATGTATTGCAATTAAGAAATCACAAAATACAAGATTAATATTTAATATATAATATATATATATATAAATATATATTTAAAAACAAAAACTCGCCCAACGCAAATATAAATTTAACTTAAAGCAAGAAAATACAAAAACAAAAGATGAACTGTTAAATTAAAAATAAAGTAAAAAATTAAAATAAAAATAAAATTTAAAAGCAAATAAATTAATTATACAGATATTTATACAATTATACCTAAACTTATCGGAATGTTGAAATTAACGACACATTACGAGTATTATGAAGAAACACATCTTTAGGGACTAACTGGCAACATAAGTGTACACGACAAGTAACTTTGAAAACAAAAACAAAAAAATAAACTAAAAACGCAATATATTTTATTTACACATAAAAACTAAACACTTAAACTATATTACTAAAATCAAAGCAGAAAAACAATTATTAAATATATATA